ATGCAATAGACAGGAGCATTCTCTCCATTCTCAGATTTTGATTCTTCACCCATAACTGCCAAATCAGGGTCAGAAAATTCATCCTGAATTCCAGGAAACAAATAGAAAGAATTAACGATGACATGGCCATTATAAGCAGCTAGCAAAAGGAAATTCTGGTCTTTAAATTGCACTATTTCAAGTATTTGAATCGAGCAATGGAAAATCTTAAAATTTTCTAGGGATAAAGGGAGATCATGAGATCTTATCTCTGAATGCGACAAGACGGGTGAAATTTCAAGGAAGCCCAATTGTGTTGAGCCTCTGCCCCCTACAAAAGGGGCTGCAAAAAGAAAAAGAAAAAGAAAAAAAGCTTTGGAAAATCCTCTTATCCAGCTTTTAAAATCGGCTGATACCAAAAGAAACCAGTCTGGCTCAACGGACAAATCGTCTCATCCCACAGATCCGATAAGTCCCATTTTCTTTGCAAAACTTAAAGAGCCCAGTTTCCAACCCTTGGTCAACCCACTCAGCCTTGGGACTCACTAATGGGTGGAGGGGGACTCGGAAGAGACTCCGGACGACTCTGCTTCTTCCCCCCATTCCCCCGCCCCGTTCCTCTTCCACGGCCGGGATCCTGCCTGTCCGACTTCGATCGACATCCTTGCCGTGAAACGGCCCTGCTCTGATAGGATCAGATGCGACCCGAATGCAGCCGTCACGATTTTGTGCGCTCACCATGATCTCTCCGCTCGGCCAGTTCCCTTCTTCTGAATCAAGACAAGGGAGCCAGGCGACAGGAAGGCAGGTGGCCTTGTCGTATTCGTTTCCGCTACCATTCGCTCAAAGAGCAAAATAACATCCTGGTTGCTCGATGTCTTTTGCCCTTTATAAAGATGGCCGTTTCTCGCAGCCATTTCCGGCGGGACTGGACGGATTCCAGAATTATTCACACCACCAGAATAATCAGCGCCCTCTGTAGGAGAGAAAGGCAAAATGACCGTGCTAACCACTCCTTGGGTATGGAAAAAAAGATCTGTTTAATCTGTTTCTTCGGAGCGTGAGAGAGGAGAAGACAGCTAGACTTTATACGAAGCGTACCTTTACCCAACCTTGGGACTGTCTTAAGCGGGGTACAGCTACATTTTCCGTCGCCCATAGCCATTACTCCAACGCTGTGCTACGACTCTCACCCGTTCATAATGACCGAGGCAATCCCGTGATGATGAGGATTTTAGTAAAACATCTGGAGGACCAAGGTTAGGAAGTCTCCCTATGCGATTGTTGATCCAGGCTCAACTAAGCTTTTAGTTTCAAGAAACAAGTGGTAGTTCTTATTATACAAAAGAAAGCGACTAACAAAGTAGTGATACCGTTTGATATAAACAGTCATCATAATATATGCTAACATATTTTAAAAGCACCTGCCTTTTGATTTGTTTGATTTGGTGCTTGTATGCAACCTTATCCCATTGAATGAAAATATCAAATAGCATATCCCATTTTATCAAATCTGGGAATAGTGACTACTGCTGAAATAAAATAAAAAATAAGTACCCTAGGTGAGAAATAATTTTACCTACTGCAAAATTCTATAGTCGTGTAAATTGTAAATGTATTGTACCTTAAATTCTTGTTTGACAAATAGAGGAGAATATTTGTAGCTCAGAGTTGAAATGATGGGTTCTCGGTGCTCTCAAAGTTTGGTTGTTTTCTTGCAGATGTTTCATTAACCAAATTAGGTAATATCAGTGCTATTAAGGAGTAGGCTTTGCTGTCTCTTTATATTCTAGTGACTTGCCCTATCAGTGTTGGTGGGACTGGTCTTGGAGATTATAGGGTTGGGTTGTTGACTGTTAGCTTGTTTGGCAGTTCCTTGATTGGAGTATTGTTTATTTCTTGATTGTTGGTCTGATGTTAATCTTGTTGTTAATCTATGCCTGTGATGGTGAACCTTTGCCATGCATACCAGAAATGGCACGCAGAGCCATCTCTCTGGGCACGCCAGCCCATTGCTCTTCTGGTCTTCACGCATGTTCCTATGCCAGCCAGCTGGTCTTCGCATGCGCAGAAGACCAGGTGGCTGGAGCGCATGTGTGCGCTGGTAAGCTGAGCTTCTGGTTTCCAGCACTCCCCCGTGGCACACCAGGAATCTGCTCTTCCGGTTTCCCGATCTATGCTCATCTGGGTGTTGATTGCTATGTCTGTCTGTTCAGGTGTTGTGAAATTAAAGAGTTTTCATTATGTCTTCTGGCTGCTCGTTGGTGTTCATGGATATGTTTCTGCTAGTCTTCTGCTTGTCCTTCATGGTGGCTGTGGCAGTTTTTACACTGTATATTGTAAATGATTCCTGGGTTTCCCCACCACCACCCGGGGCCTGCTGGGTCTTTTGGTCTACATATTTTGGAGACCTTTAGTTGGTTTGTGTGCTATGCTGATGCCATGTAGTTCAGTGGTAGAATTCAAAAAAAAATTATTACTGGTTCTGTGGGTGTGGCTTGGTGGGCGTGGCAGGGGAAGGAGACCGTAAAATCTCCAGTCAGAGGTGGTCTTTGCCAGTTCTCTGAACTACTCAATATTTCTGCTACTGGTTCTCCAGAACTGGTCAGAACCAGCTGAATACTACCTCTGATGTAGTTGTAATAGTCTATTGGTATGTTCTGAGATGTTTTTGATGTGTGACAGTGTTATCCTTACAGCTTGTTTGGTTGTATTGCTATATTGGATTGAGTAGTCAAGCACTTTTTGATGACGTTGCATGGATACCATTTTGTTTCAACGTGTTATATAGATTATCTGTTTTCTTTTTCTGTTGTTCAGGATTGCTGAGTGTGTTGGGCTCATCTGAATAGTGTTCTTAAATGATTTCTCTTATGAGAGGCTGGGTTATTACTTTGGTAGTGAAGTACTTGGTTGGTGGGGGTAGTTTTTCTGTAGACTTGTGTTTCTAGTTTGCCACAGCAGTCTTTGCTGATAAGGAAATCGAGGAAAGGTAGCGTATTGTTTTGTTGTTTCCTTGTGAACTGGACCCAACACTAACAGGACAAGCCACTAGAAAATAAAATGAGACCCAACTCCACTCCCTATTAGTATTAATAATGTTATCTAGTTTGGGTAATGAAACATTTGCAAGAAAACAACCAAGCTCAGAGAGCACCAAGGACCCCTCATTCTCATTTTAGTTTCCTAACCCTGTGATCAATATTCTTTTTTCTAAACTACTTCAAGTTTTTTGCAGGTATTATCTCAAGATACCTGAGATTATAACAGCTATCTTTCAGTTTGTTTGTTTCTTTTTCTTTTTTCCAATGAAATTAAAATATATTTGTTCAGACTTATTTATCTTAGTACCCTTTCATAGTCAGTGAATGATTTAGTTGTGATGTGACCATATGGTCAGCATGATACATTTAAAGGCTGATGTGAGTAATTTTTATATTATTTCTCATTAAAATTGGGTGTATGGTATTTATCAACAGCTTTGGATTTTGAGCAAAATTGTTGGCTATTAAATCAGAAAAATAACTACCTTTTGATGTGTTGATCGGGCCTGATAGCCCTAAATACCTTAAAATTGTTGCTAGGATAAAAGGATGTTACATATTATTTTTGCAGAATAAGACTATATATACAGTAATACTTTTTGACTTTCTTAGCTCCAGATGAATAACAAGCAAGAAAAAAGCAAATAATGTCTTTATCTTCCTGGACCAGCAATAAAGATTTTTCTCCTACCTCTCTCTTTACTTTGGTGACTAGAAGTTATTTGTTAACAAATTGGCAACAGAACACTGGATTGAATTATTTTTAATTGTTGGACTTGACCTTAAGCAGTTGAAGCACTGAGTTTCTGACAGGAGTGGTTCGTGTTTCCAAAAAAAAAAAAAAATCCTTACAGAAACAAACCAGAATCTCGGATTATGGCAAATATTTCATTCTTCCTGCCCATTTAATTTGTGAAATCTATAATGCAAAATACTAAGGTTTTGAAACATAGATTTCAATTACAGTATAGTTGTTTTCACATTTTCATTGATTATGTGCTGCCAGGTTATTTTCAATGCCTAGAGACCATTTAGATTTTCTTTCTGATGCTCTATCTCTAACTTCTTCTTGCAAATCTCCCATCACTCATTGCCACTTTAACTTAGTCCATCCACTTTACTGCTGTGTTTTTACATTTGGGGGTCACTTTTATGTGAATAATTTTTACAAATAATATATGGATTTAATTTATTTTTTTTTAACCAAAATACATGAAAATTTTGTCCTTTTAGCAATTTTATACACTTTCAGTTTGAATGTACCTTCTAATTTTTTTCTTCAAGAGAAGTTGATTGTGCTAGCGCTTTAAAATTGTTAAAATTGTTTAATTGACTATAACAGTAATTCAAAAGATGCATTAATTCTTAAGGAACAGAGTGCAATTTTCATAATTCCTGCCATAATAACCAAATCATGTTGCATCAAGAAGATACTGTTTGGGGAAAGTTTGCTATATATACCGTACATATAGATACTAATAAAATTCCATATTAACTCCAAATGATATATTTTTCTTGTATGGAAAAGTTATGTAAAGTATTCAAAAGAACTACTTTGTACTATAAAGTACATTTGTGCAAATGAGGATATCTGTTTGAAGCATTAAAGTAGCTGTGTCTTTGGAAACATGTGGAATGGCTGTTGTTGTTTTTTTGTTTGTTTGTTTGGGGTCCATGAAATATTGGTGGTATAAACCCAAGAAATTCGAAGCAGTTTTTGAAACAGGCACCCAAACCCTGAAAATGCTAAAGCTTTGATGACAAATATTTCATTTCTTATTAATGCACTTTGGATAGAATCTGTTTCAAATAAGTTGTGATGCTCTAATATTTAAATCAGTATTTGTTAACCTTGGCAACTTTAAGATGTGTCATCTTTAACTCCCAGATTTTTGATTGAGAAACACTGATCCAGAGGTATTTTGCATCCATAAACATCAAGAAATAAATCAAAAATTCCATTTTCATGACAGCAGAGGTAACAGAAATTTATTAACAGCAAATGGTTTGCCACAAATTTAAGAGTGAAGCAAGGCATCCAATATTCCACTGGGATGATTTCTCTCACTGCTCAAGAAAAAGCTCCTGTTGCACACACAAACCTATCATAGGGATAGGAATAGAGAGAGATATATAAAATTAGGAAATTATCTCTATAAACTTTTAATCTTTCCTCTATCCTTGTATGGATCAAGGAAACATTAACTTCAGTGTTCATTAAATCAAGATAGGCCTAAAAACACTGCCACACTACCATTTCTTCAGAAGCAGTTTGACAATCTGGGCTGCTCTTCTGCCACCTTCATAATGGATAAATAAAATAATTTGCTTTCACATAAATTCTTTTATGTTACACTTTTGTCATGGGCAAATCCAAGTGGTTTCCATGAGAGGAATCTGCAAATCCATCAGAGTGTCTTTCCTTTGAAAGATATATTAAAATGGCAAGCTCATGAAACCAGGAGGTAAAGGAAATCCTGCCAAGTGGAAAAGACTGTCCACTATCTCCCCAGAGCTGTAGCATTTCAATGTTTTATTGAGACTTTGACTGTATTTCTTGATTGATTTGTTTTATGAGCTTTATATATTGCAATTCTGGTCAGTTTACAAGTTAAAAATGAAACAAGGAAAATAAAACTAAAGAAGTAAAACTAAAGAAGTAAAAGATAGCAAAAGTGATGAAAACAGAAACAACAAAATCTCCCATCCACACATTCTAAATGGGCTGCAATCAGTCTGGCCAAAAGCCTTGGCAAAGAACCAAATCTTCAATGTTTTTCAAAACACCTGCAGAAACGGACCATCTAGATCTCAAGAGAACCTCATTCCAGAAGGCAGGCCCTACTTGAGGAATGATACATGAGAGTGAGTGAATAGGAACTAATTACTGAAACTTTAAGAAACAAATGTTTCATTTTGTGCCCATGAACTCATATCTAGTGTGACATTAAGATCCCAAATTTTTCAATATGGTCCTTGAATGCAAGAGGGCCTCCTCCCTTACATCTCTAAGTAGAAAGCAAGAACACTTCTTGCAGCCTAGAAATGTTGTGATAAATTCATTCCATTCTAATTTAAGTCTTATTGTATTAATCATCTCTCTTATTTTGGAATACCAGATAAGTGGTTGCTCCTATCCTGCTTTATAAACCTTAACTTAAATAACAGCTTCAAAAAACGCATTAAGAATATTTACATTTCCTCCTGTGCAGCAGTATGGTGGACTACTAGCTAATCTTCATTAATGTTGTCATCCTCCATCCCAAAGACCTCCAGCTCTATTCTTAACCTGAAGTAAATTAAATACTTGAGGTTAAACAATGTAAACAAGATCAAAATAGAAGTAAATATAAAGGAAACAAAAGGAGGCAGAAAATTAGTGACCATATTTCCATTTCATAATTATAAATAAAACTTGCAGGAGTAGGAATTCCAGTAGATGGTAGAGGTGGTTATCTTTGTTTAGAATATTTCAATAATATATTGTTTCTGGTGACCAAAACTGGGTGCGGTATTCCAAGTGTGGCCTTACTAAGGTTTTATAAAGCTGTACTAATACTTCATGTGATTTTGATTCTATGCCTCTGTTTATAACAACCAAGGATTGTATTAACTTTTTTGGCTAATAACTGTTAATAACAACTTTGAGAGGGACCCTGGACTCCTAGTGGACTCCAATAATTATGACAAGGACCTTGGAGTCCTAGTGGACGATCACTTAAATATGAGACAGCAGTGTGAGACAGCAGCCAAAACTGCTAATACAACCCTTGGTTGTATAAACAAGAGGCATAGAATCAAAATCATGTGAAGAATTAGTACTGCTTTATAAAGCCTTAGTAAGGCCACACCTGGCTTTGGTCACCACCCTAAAAAAAAAATACTGACATTTTGGAAAGAGTGCAAAAAAGAGCAACTAAGACGATTAAAGGCCTGGAGATTAAAACTTATGAAAAATGGTTGCTGGATTTAGGCTTGGCTAGTCTAGAGAAAAGAAGGACTATGGGTGATATAACACAAGTATTGCCACAAAGAAGAGGGGATCAACTTATTTACCAAAGCACCTGTAGGCAGGACAAGAAACAATGGATAGAAACTAATCAAGGAGAGAAGCAACCTGAAACTAAAGAAAAACTTCCTAACACTGATAACAATTAACCAGCTTGCCTTCAGAAGTTGTAGGTGCTTCATCACTGGAGGTTGTTAAGAAGAGACTGGACAGTTACTTGCCTGAAAGGGTATAGGGACACCTGCTCAAGGAGTGGGCTAATCTAGAAGTACTCCAAGGTCCCTTTCCAGCTCTATTCTGATTGATTGAAATTAAATATTGACTTTTGCTTGTATCCTAATAGATTGTAAAAATGTTTAATGATAATATAAAATTCACATTTGCTTCAAATAGATAGTCCAAGGATAATTACTCTCTTGGCTAAAAATTATCATCTTTCAGAAATGAATCTGCAGAAGATTAGTTATATGTTTACTTATCCAAATACATTCCCACTTTTCTGCTCACTTGCTGCATTTCTCTTGCAAGTCAGAATTGTACTTCGAGGCTGCTTCAAGATATTCTTTTGCTTTTTTGTTTTCCTCTTGAAATAACTCCCTGGAAATTAAAAGGTATGAATAAGAGTTCTTATATGTCAAATCTATCAAGGTATTAGTTGCTTTTGTGGTGAGAAATTATTTGGCATATGCATTTTTCTTACAAAATTACAAAAAAAGTATAATGAGGCACACCAGAGTTTTTAATAGTCTCATGTAATTTTGCTTAAGGCGTGTATAATTAACTGTATTTATTTATATCTCATATTTTTGAACCGCTCATCTTCCTCAAGGAAAGGCAATTAATTAATTAATTAATAACTACTCTTGGAAAGTTTTTGCTTATTTTTAAAAGTAGCACCTTTACTTGCTATTATAGTTCATTTTAAGTGTTAAAAGGTAATTTCTTGAATACCCTTGGGAAAGGACAAACTTTCTTATCTGAGTTCTAAATATTATTATCTCAGAAGAGAATGGAAGTATACTCACACAGCAGATGCAGCTGCCTGACTTTTCAGAAACTTCCTCTTTTCACTAAATGCAACCTGACTCAGCAAATCCAGTTCATCTTGAACATGAGCCAGTTTCTCTTGGATTAATTTTTCTAATGGAATATTACAACATATAAATCCTTTATGACACATCACATTTAAGAATTCTTACCTGCCTTGAAAACTGAAGGTACTTTCAAAGTATATTAGAAATTAATTGGAATGATTTTAGATAGGGTAATCTAAATTACCTAAATGCCCCAAATAGTGCATTTTCTTTCTCACCTTCAAGTAGTAACTGCTCCTTATTCACTTTCATGTCAGCCACTGGTTTCTCCCTGGCCTGGAAAGTGGAAAATGATATGATGAAAAGAAACAAGATAATAACAAAAAATATGCTGTAGATATAAGGAAGGAAATCAATAAAAATAATTTCCCAAATTTAATCTCCCAAATTTAAACAAAGTGAATAATTTAAATGTCAATATAATGTGATCAGCAAAAACAAAACCTAATAGACAGGCTGGAGCATCAGAAAGAAGCCAACCTTTCTGCTCATGCTATTTACCCAATTAAAATCAGAGAGATAAGAGAGCAGAGTTAATTATATATTTATTAAATAAATATTTAATCCAATGTATATTTAAATACATAAATAGACTCCAGTTTTACAAATCAAGCAAATATTAATATGTGGGAGGAGTATGAAAGGTAGAAAGTTAATCAGAAAAATATCACAGTAAAAGATAATACAAATAAGAATAATTTTTACATTAATTATATGCATCTGTTTAAGTGTTAGCAGCAAAAGGATAACAACAATATGATATCACTAGAAAGAAAGGTTGCATTTGGAACTTTTTCTCTTGAGGTTTTAAAAAACATATTATTGGTGATTAATCCTATTGTGAATGTATGTACTATTTTTTCCCACTAAATGCTAAATGTTGCTAATTCAGCTACTGTTGAATTCAAGCAAAGCAGTCTTAGTGGGACATGGGGACCACAAATACATTAAAACCCATATATTAGCTTGGGTTGCCCATTCCATTCAAGAAGACAATTCCAGTGTGTACCAAATAATGAAAAACCTATCTAGAGTGCTTGAACTAGCCATATTCTATAGATAGCATAATGCATGTATAGCATTCAGCAACACCACATGCCCTCATCTGTCCAGTAGTGATCATACATTGGCACAGGAGCCATGGTGGTATGTAATCTGTCATCTTCTATAGGGTAATGTAAGTCTACAAGTAGTCCTTGACATACAGCCACAATTGAGCCCAGAATGTATGTTGCTAAATGGGTTTTGTCCCATTTTATGACCTTTCTTGCCACAGTTGTTAAGTGAATCACTGCAGTAGTTAAATTAGTAACACAATGATTAAGTGAATCTGGCTTCCCCGTTGACTTTTCTTGTCAGAAAGTTGCAAAAGGTGATCACATGACACTGGAACACTGTAACCATCATAAGTACATGCCAGTTGTCACGCATCCAAATTTTGATTATGTGACCATGGGGATGCTGCAATGGTTCTATGTTTGGAAAACAGTCATTAAGTCATTTTTTTCAATGCCATTCCAACTTCTGCATTAATTTCATTACTAAACAAATTGTTGGAAGTCTAGGACTACCTGTAATCCTAAATCCCAGTGCAGTAGCTGTTTCTCCTGGGAGGATTTTCCCGTGCCTGTATCTAGTAATATCCACTCTTTCTATTGCACTTTCAGACCTCAGCATTTCACATTGTGATATATCACTTTGTGGACAAGGCCAAAAATTTTTTTAGAGATTTTGATGTTAGTATTCCCAAAGGCAATTGGAATTCAAGATCTTTAACTCACAGTGTTGCTGCCTACATTTATTACAATATTAATGAGTACTGTAGAATATACTGTAATTGATGCTACGGGGCGGATGAGGGGCAGAACAAGCTCTTACATAAAGTTCCCAGAGATTCTTGTGCTTCTCCATCAACTCATCAAGTAACTGCTCAAATGCGAATCTGAAAGTAGAAAAAAATAAAAATAAACCCAAAGCAGGAACAAGACAGAATAAACTATTACATTGCAAATAAATTCAACTCCTTACAGCATTTCTAGGGAATGTCAACTGCAACAGAATCTAGCACATCAACCACTTGGGTGAACTTTCTTGCAGGGATGGTCAAGAGAAGGCATTGTCTCAAATGCAGATTCTGGGCCTCAACTTTGGAGGTACTGAGCCACTTTACCTATATATGTTAGAAAACATGAAGCAGGTGCCAGTCTTAAAGGCCATTGCTATGGAGTGGGCACTTGGTGTGGCCATGCCTATTACCGTAATTGTACAGTAAGTCTTACCACACAATTCTGGTAATAATTAAAAAATAAATGGCTACAAATATTTTTGTTGTTATTAAACTTATTTGCAAACAATTTTATTGAATGATCTGATTGTTGTGACAAAATCTGGTATTTCTTAAGTTGCATTACTGTATTATTCATTTTTTCAGTTAACGCAGCTTTATTCTTTACAGAAAATGATTTCCTAAGGGAATGAAGGCAGTCTGAAATGTGATCCAATAAATGTAAATACAATATTTTTTTTGATAATACATGAATTAAATGAAATCAGAAAATGCTAGCACACATACATTTATAGCAAAATTGTAAGGAACCAACCTCTGCTCCCTCTGCTTCAGCTTTTCCATCTGAATCTTGGCTGTGATTTCTTCAATTTGTTGCTTACAGTCCCGGTTCAATTTCTGTTCCCTGGTAAATGAGAAGAAACCAAGATACAGAATGGGCTAATTCTTAATGTTCTTATAATAATCACTTTGCCCTTGGATCATGTATTCCAATATAAATCATTTTACTGAAAACATATGCATTAGGATAGGGTAGGGTAGGGTAGGGTAGGGTAGGAATGGAATGGAATAATAGAATAGAATAGAATAGAATAGAATAGAATAGAATAGAATAGAA